GGCTGCTTGTTTACCTTCAAGCCTTTAAGACCCCTGATGCTATATCTTTTGGTAAGCGGGCACTATCAGATTTCTTTCACCATATTTGCTTATGTGCCCATTTGTCTTCAGTGATCATCATGTGGGGAAGGTGAGCATCATGGAATTCCAGTTTAATAGAACAAAGTGTTCTTGCACTGAGGGAGTACTTGAGTGGAGGCACAATGTCCATCTGCTACTTTAATACTAAACCTTTAGAAAGCCGTTCTTTTACATCTGTACCTAGGTTTTTTAACAGTTGAAGAGACTGGGAACTGACTTGTTGTCCTTCATGCCCTTAGGCAGTGGCCTGGGAAATACTGCTGCTTCGTGTTTAAAATCTTCCATATAGAATTCTCTCTGTACTTATTAAGAAAACCATCTCCTTTAACCTGTTGAATATAGATGATAATCTGAAATTCACAATTTAAAAAAAGAAAGAAAGCTAACTGTCTCTTCCCTGTAGTGTCCACGTTCTCTTGTCTTAAACTTTTCCTGTTGCATTTCTGAAAAGGATTAAGGATTATTTTAATAGAGCTCAGCAATGCTGCATGGTTGGATTATGCTAAAAGTGCATTTGTCTGCCCTCACTGGGTTTCAGTAGTATATCCAGCCTGGGGCTCCTTGACATCTCTCCAGGTCAGTTACCTTTGGGTTGTTTTATAGCCCTACTTGGTGTGAATTAAGCTTTGTTTATTAGAGGCTGTTGCTAGAGTGATTGTCAGAGAGAAGCCAGATGCTGAACTGGGGAGCTATCCTTTCCTTTTTGGAGAAAATTCATTTGATCCTTCACAACTATCTTAGCTATGTTAAGAGTTTTTCACTTTCTTATCCCTTGATAGTGATTGCATTTAAAATACGTAAACTGAGTGTTTCTGGGGTGGTTCATTTGCTCTCTGGAGATCAAGAAAGATGAGCAGTAACTAGAATTTTTAACAATTTTCAAATGACTGGTCTTCCAGTATCTAGAAGGAGGTCCTTAAAGATGGGAGGACCTAAGAAAAGAAAAACGACTTTTCCTGCAGCCATAGATAGCTCCGAGGGCCAGTGTCTCCTGCCTTCTCCATCTCCATCTTGCCCTGACTTCCTGCAGCTAATGCCAGTTGTCGTCATTGTGCACCCCATCCTTCAGGCACATGGGAGGCAGTTCCGTGTGCTTTGGAGCTGGGGGTGCTTTCTGTGTGCCTCGCACCCATGGGGGCTCTGGTGGCTGCGGCATGCCTGGTCCTCCGCTTGCTTTGGTGACCCTTAACTCTGTCTCTTTTCCAGAACTGCCAAGAAAACTGTATGGCAAAAGAGAAGAAAGTCATTTCTTTTTTGTTTGTTGGAGAATGAGGTGGTGGGTTGGGTTTCCAGGAGTACAAAGTAAAAGAATAGCTGATGAAGAATTTTTGCATGGCGAGATGTTTTCTTGCAGATACTTGCTTACTTTTGTATCTTTTCTGTTTGTTTATTACAGATAAACATGATGCTAGCAAACCTCTACAAGAAGGCTGGCCAGGAGCGTCCTTCCGTCACTAGCTACAAGGAGGTGCTGCGGCAGTGCCCACTAGCACTTGATGCCATTCTTGGTAGAGAGCGTTTCTGCCACTGCGAAGGGGTGTTTGCTATCTAGGATGGTAGTACTCAGTCTTGCCTCTACATGAGAATCACTTTGTTTTGTAGAAATTGCTCAGGCCTCAGAGAACTGTCATTACCACATAAGCTTTCTCTGACCCAGAAGACATAAAGCTTACTGTGTGCACCTTGCTGAGGAGACGGGAGGGGGCTGCCCATGGGGTCTGGGCAAAGTGCTGCTGTTGCTTATTGTGGAGAGAGGATTCAGGCCTCATGTTCTCTCTCCTGTTTTCCCTTGGGCAGGTTTGCTGTCCCTGTCTGTAAAAGGGGCAGAAGTGGCCTCGATGACAATGAATGTGATCCAGACCGTGCCCAACTTGGACTGGCTCTCTGTGTGGATCAAAGCCTATGCTTTCGTGCACACTGGTGACAACTCGAGAGCAATCAATACCATCTGGTGAGAGCCACACATTACTTCAGTGTTCTTGAGGCCCCTCCTTGTCTGGAGGTCTGATGCATCTGAATTCCCAAGTAGAACACCAAAGGCGCTGATCTTTGGAGCTGCAGTTGGCTGCTGTGGGCTTCGTTAGCCGTTGTTTGCTCCCATGTTAGAGTGGGCTGCTCAGCTTGTACTTACAAAGGAGTAGTCATCCTGGCAAAGCAAGCCTCCTAGCGGGTCATGCTTAAGCCTGGATGAAAATTATTGGAGGTCCCAGAAGCATATTTGATTGGAGTATCCTATGGGAGTTTGTCCTCTTAGGACCAGGATTCTAGTTGGGTAACTGCCAGGGACAAGAGACTGGGCCTTGTTCTACAGTCATCTGGCTCAGTCATAAGTAGCCGTCACTTGTGAGAGAAGTTAACATTTAATGTTATTTTGTATGTATTTTCCTTTGGAAAACTGAAACCAGAAAGTTCTTTGTAGTTAATGAAAGCTCACTCATATAATCTGTATTTTTGCTTCCCTTGCCTGTATAATTTTAATTTTAGTTTAAGTGGGAATATATAAGTGCACAGTAGTGGGGTTTTTTAAGGTTTTTTTTTTTTTAAGTTTTTATTACAATGTTATTATATAAGCTCAAAAGAGAATAGTTGCTATATGCCCATCACCCGAATTCAACAATGAGGATTTAAAAGAGATTCCAAGGTTGAATGTTTTAATGTCTTCAAGTTCCCTGGAGAAAAAATCCTTATTACGAGATAATGTGGATCTACTGGGGAGTTTAGCAGACCTGTACTTCCGAGCTGGAGACAATAAGAACTCTGTCCTCAAGTTCGAACAAGCACAGATGTTGGACCCTTATTTGATCAAGGGTGAGTGTGATTCTTGGGGCAAATCAGAGGAGACAGGGAGAAAGGGTAGCAGAAATTCCTGAGACCACTTTTCTATAAAAATAGTTTGTAGGACTTAGTACAGAATCTCTTTCCATGTCTTTAGGTGCCAATGGATACATGTAACACATAAGCCCATTTTGAGTGGTTATTTTGGCTTGAATTCAAATATCGTCTTCTCACAGATCATTATTTAGCTTTCTGCCTTTCGGGGAGTCATAGCCCCTCATGATTTATGATGTGCTTGACAAAGATTTTGGACGACATCCCCAGAATTAGAATAACTTTTTAGGGATTTTTGTCTTACTGGATTATTAGTATAATTAAAAAGGATAAAATTAATCACATACTCAGAAAATAACACAATTTATTAAAGGAAGTAATCAGGAGTTAACAACCCCCAAATCATCCCTCTGAAAGAAGAATGTGGCTGCAGGCCCAGGGCAGGCACCTCCGCAGGAGGCTGTCAGGTGACGGGCAGTAAGCAGAAGACGTGCCAGGAACATCGGAAACGAGTGTGGATAGACAGGCTGAGTCTGTTTGTAAAGAACCGAAAGAGGTCATCAGAGAAATATGGCTTCATGACAATGAACTGTCTGGTAGGCTCGTAAACCAAGAGCTTGACAGAGCCAGGAGGGGACCGTCCCAGCATGGAGGTGGGGCGACAGGCTCTCAAAATGACTTTGTATTTGAGGGTCTCCTGGCTGGCCAGGGCTCACTCCTCTCCTTCAAGCTGCCCTAGCCATGATGAAAAGGGCATTCCAGAAGCAATAAGAAGCATCATGTCAGAAGTTCAGGTCCAGGAGCCAGCAGGGAGTGTTGCTGTAATATTGGCTTAAGAAGGGAATCCTCTTTGGAATGTAAAGGAACAGCAAAAAGGGGAGGAGGAGAATGGTAGTAAGAGATGGGTGACCACTAAACAGGGGGGCTTAATATAGAATGCTTTGAAACCCAGAATGAGATTGAGGGGAGCATGATCTCAAATGAAATAGAGTCCAGAGAGAGCGCCATGCTTCCTCTGGAAGAGGCCTGCTATTTTGGAGGCTTAACTGGCATTTTAACATCTTAAGTGTTTTACTCTGCCTGGAGCTCCGGAAAGAGAAATAATTTGAAGCCCTTTTTCCCCCTTTCTGGTAGTGAGTTAAGATTATGCGTATTGTGCCACAGAACATAGGGATAAATCCTTCTGAAAATACAGGCTATCCAATTATGAGGTGTTGGGCCTTTTGCTTCTTTCTATTTTTGGATGAGCTTTGTGACAGTGCTTTTATGAGAAATTAAAAATACGGTCTGAGGAAGCCGTAACAAAGTTTGCAGACCCTTAAGAGTTGGGCCAGGTGTGGGGCTTGGAGTAACAGAATGAGGTCCCAGGGGCTGTTCTGATTGCTACTTTATGAAGGACCCTGCTGCTTTGCTCACAGAACCTTCTCTTCCTCCGTCTGTCCTTTCTAGGAATGGATGTTTATGGCTACCTCCTGGCTCGAGAAGGGCGGCTGGAGGATGTGGAGAACCTCGGCTGTCGACTTTTTAATATTTCAGATCAGCATGCAGAGCCCTGGGTGGTCTCTGGGTATGTACCACCACTCAACTTTTCTCCTCGTTGTTCTGTAGAACCTTTAGGAGATGTGTCTCTTCCTGAAGAGAATACAAGTTAATACAAGTTAGATGTAGATGTGAGAGGCAATCAGACCTGGATTCAAATCATGCTCGCTCTATGGGTTTAGACAAATCAGCTCTCTAAGTCTCTTTTGTTATTTGGGAAGTGGAGAGAAGAGCACCTGCTTCGTGGCAGTAACATGGCCTAAGAGAGAAAACAGTGCCTTATCTAATAATGAGGGTGGGTCAAAAAGTACTGGTCCTAGGGATCACATTCATAAGTACATACACTTATTCCAAATAGAAAATGTTTAGCCAGGTCTCTGCAATCAACGGTTGGCTGCAGACAATGTCTCTTGATACACTGGCCTTAGTCCTGTGAGGGTTCCTTCCAAAAGGAGGATTCTTTTTTTGCAATGGACAAAAGCAATTTTAAGGTCAGTTTTTAATAAAACTCAAGTGGATATTTTCTCAAGTCATTGAAGCTTTGCAACAAGTTTACGGGAATGCTGCTCTACATGACACAAAATTTTTAGATAGATCAAGCATTTTAAGAACAATTGGAAAGACTTCAAAGATGTATATCAACTTTGTAATGAAGAAACAGGCTGACATACTGAAAGTACTGAAAGTAGACCTTGGAATACCATTGATGGGTGATTAGTAAAGTTGAGATCTCCCATCGTTTGGCATTTTTTATTTTCAGGGATCATGTTGGCCTCAGTAAGCTTTTGACTTGATGGGTGCCAAAAGTATTTTTAGTTCACAGAGCTAATCTTTCCATTAGTCTTTCAAGCAAGATGAACCTAATGAAGAAAGCTTTATTAGATGATTTGTAACTGAGGATGCCTGCTGGATACAGTCCAGAAAGCAAGATCCATTCAGAACAGTAATTTCCAAGGAGATAATATGCTGGACCAGTTACATAAATTCAGGGGAGAGAAGTCAGCTCAGACCCATCGCAACTATTATTTGTGGGGAGGATTCCCAAGGGGTAGTCTTGATTGATTTTCTGGAAAGGGTACAGAACAGTCAACAGTCTTAACCAAGTTTCAAGAAAGTGGAAAACTGCATTGGTGAGAAAAGCCAGGAATGTTACACCCAAGATTTTTTTTTTCTTCTTCCATCACAACAATGTCTTGATTCTCAAGGTAAAGCTGTAAATGATTTGTTAATTAAGAGTATGTATAACCTTTTCTTTGGCTTTGCATTGAAGTTTCTCTGAGCTAACATCGAGCCTCTTTTTGCGTCTTTCTCCTCCAGGTGTCACAGCTTCTATAGCAAACGCTACTCTCGGGCCCTCTACTTAGGGGCCAAGGCCATTCAGCTGAATAGTAATAGTGTTCAAGCTTTGCTACTCAAGGGAGCTGCGCTTAGGAACATGGGAAGAGTTCAAGAAGCAATAATCCACTTCCGGGAGGCCATACGGCTTGCACCTTGTCGCTTAGATTGTTATGAAGGTGAGATAGAAAACACAGATGCATAGTGGGAAGCTGCAGGGGCTGCCAGGCATCAGATTAGAATTTCCATTGGGCCAATAGTTGCCAAATGCTATTGCCCAGGAGAATCATCAGGGGGAATTGAAAAAATCCTGGTGACAGCTCACAGCATGGTCAGGAATTAATACCGGTGTAATCTAAGTGCTGGGGCTTGGGAGGGGGCTGTCAATAATTTGTAAAGACTCTGGTAATGCTGACAGACAGACAAATTTGGGAAGCATTGCCTTAGGCAGTTAAAATCATTGAGAAATTTTTTTCCTATAGGCAACTCTCAAACTCCCATCTTCTTTTTAAAAAAAAAAGTTTTGTGGGAAGTAGGTCCCTTGTCCCAAGAAAAAATACTCCCCGCTAACTCAGTGGTGCAGGGCTCTGTGCTGGATCACTTAGGTACCTCTTTGTTAAGGACGGACACACACACACACACACACACACACACACACACACATATATATATATATATATATATATATATATATATACAGGAGTGGTGATATAGTGGTGGTGTGGGAACCAGTCCGTTTGTCATGACCTCCCGAGTAGACATGGTCACACGGTCACCTTTGTTTTCCCCTGTAATGTTTTAAGTTCATGTGAACCGACCCTGGAGCTTCAAAGGAGCTCTGCCAGCTTCAGCAATATTGGTGACTCAGTCACAGACATTAAAATAGAGCTTACAGGATGCAGCTTCTCCAAAGCATATTTTCATAAGGATTTAAAAATAAACCCAGACGCCCAGAAATGACTTAGTCTCAACAGCAAGATGAGCGCAATTTTGAAGGGAAAAAATGTCGGCACTGGGGTAAGGATCAAAAGCTATGCCGTTATGAGTTTATTTGGGACAGAATGTTGTCTTTGTTCTAAAACCCCAGCAGACCAAGCTTTTGGTTTTAGATTCTTGATCCTGAAACTAACCCTCCCTAGCTTCTTGTTCTGTAGCATGCCCAGTTTGCCAGGACCCAGGAATACAGTCAAAGAAACCTACCACCTCTCCCCCACAGCCCTTGGGCACAAGGGTGGTTGGAAATCTTGGGGTTCAACGGGGGACAGTTTCCTGTGGCCCAGGAAGGTTTTGTGGGTCCCCTTCTTTTTTGAGCCTGGGGCCTGGGTGACTTGAGTTAGTAGTTCCATCTTCTAGTGCTTCCTGCAGCCCCAGCCCAAGAGTCCGTCCTTCCCAGTGGAGGCTCAGGGTTAGTTAGGAGCATCCTCTGTTTCCTTCTGAAATTTGGGGGGTGGCAGTTAGCAGTGAAGTTCGACTACACAATAAGCAGACAGCCGTAGGACCTGAGAAGAGCGGTATCCCATTGAAGGAGTTGTTACTAATGGTGAGAAATAGGCTTGTGTATAAATTGTTGAATGAAAAGCTGGGGGACGGGGGCAGCAAACCAGCTTATCATTCTCAAGAGTCAGCTCCTCTCTGGAGAGTAGCACTGGTGGTGGTGCTGCCTGTGTGTGGATGTTACAAAGCTGCTGGGTGGATGTTACAAAGCTGCAGGAGAAATTTGGCGGGCTGTGTGGGTTTGGGGTTTAAGCTTTTTGCATGGTTTGATGAGCACTCTGTGCCAGGAAATTTCTCTGTCTTCCCCAGTTGGGCATGGATAGCTGAGAATTTACTCTGCTTGAACCAACCCTATAAAACATGCTGCAGGCATGGAAAGGCGCTATAGCTGCAGCTTTCCATCGAGTTGAAGGGTCAGAGACATAAATATATGTTCTGTATTTCAATGAAAAACGTTTCCTTTCTCAGGTGGCTTGCCAGTAGGTCCTCTTAGTTTGTAGAGCACCTGACTGTTCAATTTGAGGTTGTAGGCACTATTCCCCATGTAACCTGAGACAGAGGTGAATGGATGTAGCTGGACAGTGTGACCATGTGTCAGTGGTCATGAGCAGAGGCGAATGGCTGGGGTTGTGTTCAGGCTGCCTTGTGCTGCTCTTTCCTTTTTTTTTTTAAAGACCACTTAAAAACAATAGAAAATTTAGATAAAGGTTTTTACTCCAAAGCAAACAATTATTTAGGGCTATCAAGGATGGGAGGGAAATGGATAGAAGAGGAAGCAATAAGCTAGAATAGGGATCAGCAAATGTTTTAGATGGAAGAGCCAATCCTGCCCCTTCTAACAATTTAAAAATTACTTGAGAGTCATAAAAATATTTTTATATACAAATGAAATCACCGTTATCTGAGTAATATCCTTTAAATTTTTTATTTGACCAGAGCCACATATGTTTACGTACCAAAAGAACCACATATCGTTTGAGAGCCACAGTGTGCCGACCCCTGAGCTAGAGGGTAGGCATGTATTAACATACATGGTTGAAGAGGAAGGAAGACAATATCCTACAATGATAAGAGTAAAACAGAAAAAAGGGAGGGGCCCCACAGGGTAAAATTTTGAATGTTTGGTAAGCTGTTGAATATTATTTTAAATGTCAGCTCCCATTTATTCCACAATTAAAAAATTTTTAAGGGGAAAACCCCAAACACCTAACTCAAAGCTCTCTCAACCCTGTGCTCAACAGAAGGGAACACTGCTTGGTCCTGCACCATCCTCACAACTGACCCTATGGTGAGCCCATTGTTGTAGCCACTGTGTCCATCCATTTTGAGGGCCTTCCTCTTTTTTGCTGCCTTTCTGCTTTATCAAGCATGATGTCTTTCTCCGGGGATTGGTCTCTCCTGACAATATGTCCACAGTATGTAAAACAAAGTCTTGCCATCCTTTCCTATAAGGATAATTCTGGCCATATTTCTTCCAAGACAGATCAGTTTGTGCTTTTAGCAGCCCATAATACTTGGAGTATTCTTCTCCAGCACATAATTTCAATGCATTGATACTTCTTTGGTCTTTTTTTATTCCATGTCTAACTTCCAAATGCATATAAGGCGATTGAAAACACCATGGTTTAGATCAGGCACACCTTAGTCCTCAAAGTGACAGCCTTCCTTTTCAATACTCACTGAAGGTTCTGTCTTAACGATGAAGTCACCTAAGAGAAATGGCAGCCAATCTGAAGGCAGGTGAATGTTTGGATCACAGACCAATCCAAGCTTTCAAACTTCTGAGTGCATGGATGTGCAAGCTGACTGCTCTGAGTACCTAGCTATCTAGACTGGATTCATTCTCACTAGGCCAAGGTTGGGATCTGGAAGGGGAGCAGATTTGAGTGTAGACCCAGGAAGCTTCCCCAGGTATGCTGCCCTTTTCTCAGGCCTGTCTGCTTCATTCTGCAGCCTGAGGTGCCTTGTGCACCACAAGCTTTTCCCACATCTGTCTGCCCGTCCGTCAGATGCTCTGAGGAAGAGACCTTCTTAGCTATTCCATCAACATATCCTCTCTGATCTCAGCATCTTTGTTTCTTTGGGCTGCCTTTGAAAACATGAAGCTTTGCCATTGGAAAGGCTGTCAATGAGCAAGTATGACTTGGAATGGTAATGTGCTTGAACTTCTCTCTGCATTTTATTTCTCCAGGACTCATCGAATGTTACTTAGCCTCCAACAGTATCCGAGAAGCAATGGTAATGGCAAACAACGTTTACAAAACTCTGGGAGCAAATGCACAGACCCTCACCCTTTTAGCTACTGTTTGTCTTGAAGACCCGGTCACACAAGAGAAAGCCAAAACGTTATTAGATAAAGCCCTGACCCAGAGGCCAGACTACATTAAAGCGGTGGTGAAAAAAGCAGAGCTACTTAGTAAGTGTTGCTTATTTTTTCAGCTCTTTGCTGTTCATATTTAAAGAACCTGACCTCACTTGAATTCTCCAGTCCAGGCTGGCCAGACAGGCGCTGGCTGCCGGCCACCCTCGGGAGTGGTGGGGAATGTAGTATTTCAGGGTGCTGACTTAGAGCTGCTTGGCTAGGTGGGGGAGGACTTTTAACTTTGGGGGGCTAGTTCAAACCAATTCTCTAATTGGTCAGTACCTGTTCAGTTCACAATTAAATCTGATTTTAATTGTTCTTAACTAGTCCGAACTAGTTTGGCAAATCCAGTGCATTTGGAAATAAAGGGCAAGAGTTTAGGAGGCCACAACAAAACTTGTGGGAAAGTGGAATTGAAAGATAATGGCATTTCTCCATGAAATTTTTTGAAGTCCCCTTCATCCACTTAAGAAAAGTTGAACTGAAATCTCAGGTTTCTCGGGCAGACTGCTTTTCCCTCCTGCAACACCATCACTCAGGACACACCATGCCTCAGGGGTCTGACGGGGACTGTTGACTGAAATGTTGAGGTAAGCACGGAGAGTTTTTGTCTTTGCAGGCAGGGAGCAGAAATATGAAGATGGAATTGCTCTGCTGAGGAACGCGCTCGCTAACCAGAGTGACTGCGTCTTACATCGGATCCTAGGCGATTTCCTCGTAGCTGTCAATGAGTATCAGGAAGCAATGGACCAATATAGTATAGCACTAAGGTAGGCACGCAGCTTCTGGGGGGAAGATTGATGAGGGGCAGAGGAAGCAATGACACTCTGCCTGGAGTCCCAGCAACACATCCCTGCAGAGTGGAGAACAAAATGATAATCGCACCAGCAGAAGAGTTCTTAGGGAATTCCAGGCTTTTCAAGTCTGTCAGCAACATTGAGAAGCAGTTTCACTCACCGAACTTCCAGCATCTCTCACATCCATGTCCCTTTGTAGGTAGATCATCTTCCTGTCTTCCCCTCCCACACATCTTTTTATAGGGGCATAAGGAGTATATATTTTATATTCTGCTTTTAAACATCCCAGTGTTGAGTACTTCCCATGTTTCTACCCACTGTTGTCTTTAAGAACTTGGGCACCGATGTGTGAATACTATACCTTCATCATCTATTTACTGTTCTAACATATTTTCATCTCTATATCTTATCAGCCTTATGAACAATGATTATCATGTAAAACTCCAAACACTGTGCCTGGTATATAGTAAATATTTAAATAAATAGTGGTATTATTACTACTTAACATAAAAGTGGTTTCTTTGAGGGTGTGTGTGTGTGTAAGTTATGGTAAAGGCCTGTGGGTAATCGAGTTTTGATCACCTTCATTTACTTTCTCAGCAGACAGTTGAATACTGATCATGGGCTTGGCACTTGAGAAGCCAAGGGGGGTGTTGGAAGCTTGGGGTGGGGGTGGGGTGTCCAGCTGTGTAGTGATTAAGTAGGATTCCATCATGGGTTTTGTCTGTTTCTTGGAAGATGGTAGGTGAGAAAAAACACCAGACTTTCATGAGAGGTGGGATTGGCTAGGGGTTGAAGCCTGTTGGCATGGGAGATGGTCATGAAAGGAAGATTGCTTAGGAGACAAGTACATAAACACAGGGCAGCTCTGGAGGTTTTTTATTTTTGGAGTAGGGGAGGTGCTAAGCGTGAATGCCTAGGAGTAGGGCTAGCTTTGGGGGGTGTGGGGGGCGTCCCTAACCTAGGCACTAACACGTGGCTTCCATTATATAGCACAATCTTTTTAGTTGACTACTGAAGTACTGAAGATGTTTAACCATATTGTATGTGTGGAGCAATTTCACTCACTGAAGGAGAACTCTTGTAATCCCATAGCTTGAAAACCCAATGCCTTGGAAACTTAAACCTGAATTTTCCTATTACTGTTTGTTGCCTGTTCACTTGTTTTCTGGTAGCTTGCTTCTAGCAGAATGCTAGGGTGATGGGTGTTAGCATTTCAAAGAGCTTATGGAGAAAAATTCAAGTTGAGAATTATAAACATTAGGCCAAGACTTGTCTCACTTCTCATGGCAGATCCCCCAGTACAGCCATTGGAGCCTGGAGTTGTGTGGCGAGGCCAGGCATTAGCAGCTGCTCTGGGACTATGTGGTCATTTCCCTGCGGTGCCACGCAGGTGACGAGTCAGCCAGCAAGAAGCCAGACAGAGATTCAGGCCTCTCCTTTGTTTTGTTGTCCCCTAGTTTGGACCCCAATGACCAGAAGTCTCTAGAGGGGATGCAGAAGATGGAGAAGGAGGAGAGTCCCACAGATGCCACTCAAGAGGAGGATGTGGACGACATGGAAGGCAGTGGGGAAGAAGGGGACCTGGAGGGCAGCGACAGTGAAGCAGCCCAGTGGGCTGACCAGGAACAGTGGTTTGGCATGCAGTGAGGCAGGCGAACGTCGGTGCTGAGACTGACGGCTCTGTGGACTGACAGAGCCATTCCTGGAGGACAGACCTGCAGGCTGCAGTGAGATTCCTGCCCCCTCACTCCATATTCCAGTGGTGACATCATTTAAGAACTGACTCTGATCGCTTTTCGTCCTTCTCCCCTCCCCTGCTGCAGCCAAGGAAGACTTCATGAGCCTTCTGTGAGGCCTACACTCATGCAGGAGCTTCTGGGGTGGGGTGTGGGTGCTTTAAAAAATATTTCTGAATCTGAAGACTTAAAGAATAGATGACATTTTTTGTCTGTGATGCTGTGAATGAATTTAAAGGAGTGACCCTTTTCCCCAGAGAGGATGTTCACCCTGCAGTCAGATGGTCGCATGGGCCAACCCTTGGAAAGGGTCTCATGTTTTCAGAAGCATTCATCATTCATCGGGAGCTGTCCAGACTTCCCTGGTCCGTTACTTTCTTCTGCAACATTAGTAATGCCTTAAGCTGACATTTGCATTTTTGCGGAACAATTACCTGGATGGATCTGAGAAGAAACAGTTGCACAGAGGCATGGCTGGAGTAATAAACTAATAAAGCTGTTTCTGTACAGTAATGCTGTTGATCGGAATGGAAGCCCTTCCTTTCTCTGGTCACTTATCCAGAACACGCTAGCCTCCTTTTCTTTTATCCCTGAGTATTAGGAGCAGGGAGAGTTGGAATCTTAAGTAACATGGAGCTGGGCCAGCCACTAGAATTGTTGGAGTGTGCCTGATTTTCAGCCTTCTCTGTGGGGTTCACTCACTCTCCCTTTTTTCTTAAGATGTCAATACTTTTGCATATATAATAAGCTAATTATCTGTAGGTGAAGGTCATGGAGGGAGGAGGGTATGTGACTGATAACACCAAATTTTCATTTAAATCAGTTAAAAAAGATATTTACAACTAAATTTGACATAAGTGCCTATCCAGAAGTACACATTCAAGATAGCTGGTAACTGTTGAGTTTAAACAGGCAACAAGTTATTGTTAAGATTCCTAAGAACGAGAGCCTGTCTATAGTCACCTGGTCTCTAAACAGGGCCGGCCAGAGCTTCCTCTAGCTCCTGAGACAAAGGCCAGCCCCTTCCGGCTGCCCACCACACATTGAAGGGGGTCACTGGGTCAGAGCTGGTCCCTGAGCATTGACTTCTCTGGCCCCTTCTCCCCCCTTTCCTTGACCTTCTTTGACTTAGCAAACGGGCCCTGCATGGGATTGACCTGCTGCCCCTTCCAGATCACCATCCCGCTGGCAGCTCTGCATTTTACTCCCAAAGGGTCTGGGTGACCCTTTAGAAAAGTGGTTCTCAACCTGTGGGTCTCGACCCCTTTGGGGAGTCGAATGACCCTTTCACAGGGGTTGCCCAATTCATAACAATAGCAAAATTACAGTTATGAAGTAGCAACGAAAATAATTTTTTGATTGGGGGTCACCACAACATGAGGAACTGTATGAAAGGGTCGCGGCATTAGGAAGGCTGAGAACCACTGCTTTAGAACATCTTAGCTTGCAGAAGAATTGATCCACAAAAGGTGGGAGGAGCTGGACTTGGAGGGCCTGACAAGTTCACTGGCCACTGCCTCCGCTTGTCCCTCCCTTGGCACAGAACCAACCTACCAGCAAATCTTCCCCAAGGGCTAGTGCTCAGTCATGCCATTATCACACTAAGATGCCTAGTAGTCAAAATGGCTAGTAGTCAAAAATGGCTGTTCAGTTGTCCACAGGGGTTCTCTCAGTCTGGGAGTGTTCCAACTTATACCTAGACCTTCCCCTCAGGTGAGTTCATGTTTGAAAGCAAACACCAAACTGGTCAGTCCCAGCTCTATTCTGTGGGCAGCCAGTCAGCCTCTGGAGCAGCAGTTCCCAACCTACCACCTCACTGGGATAGCATTGGTGGGGTGCCACCCCCAGGGCCAGTGCCCCAGAGTGGGTGGGGTGACTGAGCACGCCTACCCCTGTCTCACCTGGGCCCTGGCTGAGCAGGGTGAAGCTCAATTCACTTGAGCCCTGCTGAGGGCCAGCACCCCTCAACACTTCAGACCACCACTCGCCGCCAGTTTTGCAGTTACATGCTCCAAACCTGGTGAAGCCTAGAGTAGGGGTCAGCCTGACCTCGGAAGGGAGGAGGCAGCTCAACAAGCTTCACCTGTGCCCATCCTTTTAACTCGGGCAGGCAGCGTCATTCACTTGCATAGCCCCTTGGTCGGCAGCCTGCTGTGAGTCGGCCCAGGAGCACGGGCCCAGCCCGGGCCTTGCTCACACGGCCGAGTTCTCTGGCTGCCCATGACAGACGTGGACCTAACAGGACACGTGTCAACGCTGCTCCAGTGCCTAAGCAGGATGGACTCAGGTGAGTGGCTCCTGTGCCTGCTCCACAGGCACCAAGGGCAATGGCTGGGCCAGAATTGGCTGGGTGTGGGACTTGGGCGTGCTGCCTTGTCCTTCAGTCTGCCCTAAACTTCAGTGGCTGCACTGCCACCATGACAAGCCCTGGCTAGCCTAGCTGTCTTGAGGAAATACTGCACAGTTACAGTGGGGAGGTAGCTGTAATGATCCCTCCCAGATAACCCCTGGGAATTAACTCAAAATGAGTATAAACAGGTTTCATGAAAGTGGTCAGTGGCCCTCAAGTGGTCAAGACCCAACATTGTGGGGTCGAACACCATCTGCTTTGTAGGTTGGAGTCAGTCCGTCTCATGGATAGTTGGCCTCGTTCTTGACCCTCTCCATGTTCTCTCTGACCAATGGTCTTCCCTAGTGACGCATGCAAAATGAAGGAGTGTTCTTGCAGTTCTTAGACTACCTGAAAAAAACAAAGTGATTAAAAAATTGTAACAAGAGGCATGAAGTTTTAAAAATGTATTTACACTAGCCATTCCCTACTGAATCTTTGCCCCACTTCCCAAAGAAGGTAAGAAATCAAGGAGAGAAACTGGATGAGTGTGCTTTTGCGAAGTTGTATTTATATGAACGTTATATGAAGGGCTCAGGCTATCGACTGAAGAAATAATAAGTCTTGTTCATTGGTTTTAACAATTCCCTCCAAATCCCATTCTATGGATCGAGGAATTTGTAGACCTTGCTGCTTCGTATTGGTGGACACTTGGCTGTAGCTGTTGTCTGTAATTAGGGCAGCGGATGTTGCCATGAACGTATCTGGGTGTAATTTTCTCAAGAATTTGCAAAGGTCAAGTTCCTTGTGAGGTTTCTGGAGCTCAGGTTACATTGTACTGACATTTTTGATGGGTGCTGCCCAGGTGCTCTCAGAATGGTTACCCTGACTTGCTTGCTTGCTCTCCATAGGTGGGGCTGCTTATTGTCCCCTCCCTTTTACCAAATTGCAGGTGTAGAAAACATCCCCGAGGGTTTGATTTGTGTCAGCTGCTGTTTGCCCCTAGCAAACACCCTGCCCTTCTAGTCTATTCCGACCCCAGGTGTGCTGAGTAGAACTGTGCCATTGGGTTTTCAAGGTTGTGACCTTTTGAGGCACCTCAGGGTGGGTATCTAGAGTTGCAGTGAGCTGGAATTGACTCGATGGCAGTGGGTTGTAGGGACTGCAGCAAGAATCCCTTTGCACTAATGTTTGCACCCACTGAGGTGTAGACAGAAATAGCCCCATTTCAGAGGAGCAAACAGACTTAGGTGAGACACTTTGGCTATGGTCAGCTATCCAGGTGGTCTCCAGCGGGGCCCCCTCCCCCCCTCCCCATCCCGTGACAGTCCATTCTCAGCCTGGCTGGGTGTGAAGGCTGCCAGCAGGTCTGGCAGGGCAGTGTCATGATCAGTTCTGTCTCAACAGCCTTCAGCAACCCCTCTGTGCACTCAGCTTTTTCCTCCTCTGGGTTAATACCCAGGAGGGACATGACGTCACGTTTGGAGTGTTCGGGGTGTCTGGTTTCTTCATCTTCCTCTCTGACTACCGTGTGTGCCTTCCCAGATGCCCCAGTCAACTTGAGTACATATGTGGGTTTCAGGTTCGGGCGAACAAGGAGCTCCCCAGTCTCTGAGCCTATGGGATTTGTGCTCCCCCCTCTCTCATAGGATGTGTCTGACCTGAGGGGGGGAGTTGCTTGAAGAGTGTGTGTGTGTGTGTGTGTGTGAGAGAGAGAGAGGGGGGGGGGGATTGCGATTATAGGGGCAGGATTAGCTGGATGTCTAACTCCAAACTCCCCCTTCTTTCTTCCTGCAGTGCCCTTTAAGGGGTATTTCACCTTCCCCACCAAGAGCTAGACCCCTTCAGCATCTTCTGCCCTCACCAGGGAGCAGCTCTCAGACTCATGGCCTGCTATTGCCATGTGACGGTGGGCAACTCACTCAGCCTCTGTGCTTATGTGCCTTGGAAGGTGCTCAGAGTCAGGTGCCCTCTTCCTGCTGCTAGGCATGGGGGCAGCATGGATGGGAGTTGACGACAGAGATGTCAGCACTTGGGGGTCTGCAAGCACCCTAAAGTTAAACTTTGGTCCGAGTTGGGGCCTGTGGGCATGAGCCTTCCCAGCTACATGAGAGCCAGGCCCCTCTGAGGTGAGAGTGACAGTGAGGCCATTTTCTTCATCTTAGAGAGCACGGGTCTCCCATGTCATGCCCCAAGGGGCAGCTGGGACTTAGTCCAGGACTTGAGCAATAGTTGCAGCAATCTGGGCTCTTTCCCTGGCTCCGGCAAGGTGCGGTCTGACTGACTGATGTGAGATTAGGTGGCACCTGCTGCTCTGCTCTTCCCCCTTCTGTTGGCATGGAAGGAGAGGGGGGTAAGGTGTGTCTCTCAGAATCCACACCCTGCCTGCACTGTACTTGTAGGGTAGCTCTCTGCCACCCTAGGAGAGGCCAAGGGGCCACCTTGAGGTCCAAGCTGCTAAGTGGACACTCCTAAATCAGCAGAGCCTAAATCAAAATAATTCTGCAGAGGGCTAATTTGACCTTTTAAAAAAATAGTAAATTGGGTGTCAGTAAGAAAACCTAACGTCCTTCGTTTCTCTCAGCTACTCAAAGTGCTTTCCTGATATTAAAAATGCTTTAGAGAAAAAAAATAGTACATTTTAAAATATTAAATATAGCACACTACAGAAATAGATGAAAACACGTAGTATTTAAAGAACCACAGATAAAACAAGCACACCATGTATCCATCGCTCAGGTCAAGAAATTGAGAACACGTCTTCTGCCCCAAAAGAACTTGGGGCTTCACACTTAACGTAGCACCTTTCTCCCAACCCCCTCCCCAGGTTACCTTTTCCTGAGAATTGTTGCTGCTTCCTTATTTCATGTTTTCAATTTCTTTTCCTCTTACATCTGGAAGTTATTTGAACCTTGAGCAAATATAACCTCAATTTTCTTACCTGTAAAATAATGCTCTCACATGAAAAAATAATAATTCATAAATTATCAAGGGTTCATGGAGGAGGGAGGATTGGGGAGGGAAGGGAAAAAATGAGCTGATACCAAGGACTCAAGTAGAAAGCAAATGTTTTGAGAATGATGAGGGCAACAAATGTACAAATGTGCTTCACACAATGGATGGATTGTGATGAATTATGTGAGCCCCTAATAAAAACAATGCTCTCATTTCCCATGTTTGTTAA